CGCCGGGTGGAAAAAAGGGCCGAACCGGGCCGAAAAAGGGCCTGCGGCTGCGACTGGGCCGTTTTTTGGCGCCGGCGCCGAAAAAGTCGCCTGGGGGGCTGTTGGGGGCGCGGCTGGAGATGCTCTTACTCTGCTTGTTTTATGTTTGTATGCAAATAATCCACTGAAGCCGTTTGCCTAGGTTTGAATTCACCTGGCCACAAGTAATCAAACTAGAATCTCAATCACACCGTCAGTAAGCTCTACTGCTGCATTACTGAGAGTGAAACAAAGTCAGTTCTAAACAGCAACATTCAATTGCTAAAACAGCTCATGGAAGAGATCACCATTTAATTCAAATCTACAACAGCCAGGCGAAATTCACCTCACCGCGCCAAAAGGTTTTCCTTCTACAGCCAGACATTTTGCCAAAACAAAAGTGAACATCACTAGCTGCGCCTTGCATCTCCCACAGCCACAGGACAGCAGCAGATGAATCAGGCAACATTAATCAGTAAGTTCCTTTTATTATTCAAGCATCCATCTACTTGCAAATCAACACATGCTGCACAGGAAAATGTGCACCTGCTACAGATAACCCACAAGTACGTGTTCATGCTCACAAACGTGAGTATCCACAGCCACAGCCATCTATTAAATCTGGTAGATGTCCGGGAGAAAAATTCATTCACATTACAAGTATCTGAACAAGACGCCTCTCCTATTAAAATTCTGATAGGGGGCAATGCTATTCTCCTGTTGTGAACTGCAGGAGCTCCCAACCCTCTCCAGGTTTAGCTAACAAGAGCTGAATGACCTTCAACTGCGGCAGGCCTGCCTCCGCTCACGCACTATCCTTGGTATTTCCTTCCATGCTTCAGTTTCAATGGTTCAAATTCTGTTACTGCACATATCACAAGAAACGTCAGAACAAACTTGTACAAACTAATGTAATAGTATGAAAATTCTGTACCACGTGACGTTAAAATAATGGAGAACAAACTTGTTATGGTACATGTGATGGGATGGACGACGGCATTTCTTGGTCAAATGTAGCAAAGATAGAAAGATGTGCATACCTTCAAAAGGGCCATCTAGTCGTACGTACGAAATGTTGCCCAGTTGTTGCTGCATGCATCTAGGGAGCTTCTTTATTGCTGGACAGCCTTTAATTTCAAGCCATCGAAGAGACCTGTATGCTTGTGTCTCATTCGGCAGGGATGCCAGGTTACTGCAGCTTTCAAGGTAAAGGGATTCAAACGATGGGGGGTGCTCTCTCAGCAGAGACTCCAGCGATGTCAACCCACTGTTGCTGTAAATGCTCAGTTCCTTGAGGGATGTGGGCAGACGGAGAATCCCCCCCCAACAAGCCACCACACCGTCCTATTTTTAGAGATTGGAGGCAAGGAGGAAGTGAATGCTCTCGTGTTGCTGCTGTTGCTGCTGCTGGTGGCTCTGGTAAATTTATGGAGGTAGTGACTTCTGGTTTCTGTAGCCCACCCAACTGACATGATAGGACTTCAATACTACTGCAGCTAGAAATATTTATGGTCTTTAAGGACGGAGGAAGATTTAGAACCGCTGGTAAATCATCATCACATCGATATAACCTTAGAGCTTCTAGGCATGGACAAAAGTGATTCATGGGTGAGGATGACAACTCTGATACAGTTGCACGCACGATTGCCTCATTGCAAGAAGACCCTTCAACAAACTCTGACATGCCCTGCTGCTTGCCAAATATGGAGTCAAGCTTAGGGCACCAAGAAATATCCAGTATCTTGAGAGTAGCCGGGACTTTGAACATCTCTACCAAACTTGCGCAGTTTTGTAACCAAAGAGACTCCAGACCTCGCAGGTGTTGACTCCTATCGAATGTTGATGACTCAAGAGGAGCATGTGCGTACCCAGTCAGATTTCCGCAGCTTACAATCACTAATCTCCGCAAGGACACCAAGCTTTCAAACACTTTCTCTGGCCAGTGGACGAGCACATCGCATCTATCAATTTTCAATTCTTCAAGATGTACAAAACAGTCACATGGCTCTAATGCACCTGATCCAAAGAACAAGTTGCAGTATCTTAGCTTCATCACTTCAAGAGGTGATTTCTGGTTCCATTTCGCCTTGCTGTCCACAGGCCCAACTGAAGTGCACTCAACCCTTGATGTTGTTTCTATGTTTTCTAGCTTCAGAATCAGATTTGTCAATGAAGAAAAATATCTATCTATAAAATCGGAGACCTCTTGCTTACCATCTTTAATTTTTAAGATACTGAGTTTTGGTGCCTCGGGTAAATCTATCATCTTTGGGCACTTCTGAACTGATAGTTTATCAAGTTGATGAAACAATGTCCCTTCGCCTGCATCCCAACTCTGAAAGCTCTCCAAATCTCCCATCGTGAGCATCTTGAGGGCAGGAAACGCTGAGCGTACCAATCTATAACCACCTTCACCACAAGGTCCTTGAAGCAATGTTGCTTCAGGCAACCCTGTCAGCTTTGGGCATTTCTCAATTAATAGTTCCTCCAGCCAAGGAAACAATATATGTTCTCCTTGAGTCTCTTCGAATGCATCCCATCTCTGAAAGATCTGCAAGCTTTTCATTTTAACCACCTTTAGGGCAGGAAATGCCGAGCGTACCAATGTATAACCACCCTCACCACAAGGTCCTCGCAGCAATGATGCTTCAGGTAGTGTTACCAACTTTCCACAATTACTAATAAACAACTTCTCAAGCACAGGAAATATTGTCTGTTCTTCTTATCTCTCATCTATTTTTCACCATCCCTCAAAACCCAACTGATGATCTAGCATAAGAACCTTCAGCTTCGGAAAAGTGAATATTGTAGTGGATCTGAACAAAATTTGTAATCTTTCACAATGAAAAAGATGGATCCCAACCTTGTTATGCAACATACCCATGCACTTTCCTCCATAGGAATATATGTTCAGAACCTGGAGCCCACCATGAGGCTCAAAATTATCAAGCACCTTGCTATCACAAACATAACTCCATCTTAATGTTAGTTCTCTGAGATCCTTCTTTTTACTGAGATTTGATACTTCTGCTTCTACTTCTATATCAACATTCTCTAGCTGACATAGCTCTAGTTGACCACCAAGGTGTAAAGGTTGCAGCTGTGCAACATCACTGCAATCAGGGCCAGCAACTCCTGCTACAAAAAGTGTGAGTGTCTGTAGATCAGTGAGTTTTCCGAGTCCTGGTGGCATGCCCTTCAACTCCGGACATCCATGAGTGTAGAGGTGACGGAGAGAAGCCATATACTTTCATTTACCTTGGAAGTCGATCAGGGTCAGAGCAGTTGGAAAGGTCTAGCATTTGCAAGTTATATAGGATACTTATATCTTCAGGAAGTGCTTTGATATTACTGTATGAGAGATCAAGGTACCTCAGGTGATGCAGATACTTTTGTTTCAGTTGAAATGATTCTGTCTGTATACAGAGCTCCAAGGCATGCAAAGAACTGTATTTTGATAGATGCTTCAGTGAGCTCGAGACGTCATTATCACATAGTATTGTTTGGATAGCTATAGCAGGGGATCTTTTCTCCATAGAATCATTCAAAACACCTGTTGTTTCTTCACATGAAAGGAACAAATGCCGAGCAGTATCTGGAAGCCAATTGATTTTACTTGCTCCCATAGTTGCAACAACACATTCCTTTTCCATAACAGACATTGCAATATCATGCATAAGATCATGGATTTTACATGTAGTTCTCGAATAATACCCCGAATCTTTTTTACTTTTCTCTACATCCAGAAAGAATGACCTTGAGGCAAGATCATCAAAAATAAGTTGTCCAATGGTTTCAAGACTATCTTCCTTGTGCTTTGGAATAAAGCCATTTGCGATCCATAGTTGGATCAGCTTCTCCACTTTGATCCTGTAATCCTTGGGAAATATAGCACAGAAAGCAAAGCACTGCTTCATGTGTGCTGGCAAGTCATTGTAACTAAGATTGAGTATTGGCAAGATTCAAGTTTCCTCGGTGCAAATGTTGCTTCTAGATGATATGGCCTTCCATTGTTCCACACTGGTCTTGGTACGAAGTACAGACCCCATTGCGGTTGCAGCTAAAGGAGAGCCAGAACATCTGTTTACAATCTCATCAACCATCTGAAGTAGTTCGGCTGGCTTTTCTTTCGCTGAACTGAATGCTCTAGCCTCAATAATTTTCTTTATGAAGCTATCGTCCAAAACATTGAGACGGTAGGCTCTATCTACACCCATAATTTCAGCAACTCGTTTATCACGAGTTGTTGTCAACACTGCACTACAGGTACCACCATGCTGAAGACAAACCTTCAGCTTTTCCCACTTATGGACCTCTCTGTTCCAAATATCATCCAATACAAGGAGGTACCTCTGTCCACTGAGCAAATTTTGAAGTCTATCCAGTGGTGGTTTGTTTGTATCTTCATTCTTACTGGGAGTTGCTTCAACTATACTCTTGGCCAGGGAGTTCACACCAAAGGTATCAGAGACACAGACCCAAAGCAACAATTGGAAATGCTTCTGAATTTCATGATCATTGTATATGAGCTGTGCTAATGTGGTCTTGCCAAGGCCACCCATTCCGACAATGGGAACTACTGCAAGATCTGCATTGCTAGCTTCACCAAGCAGTATACTAACAATTTCCTTCTTCTCTTTGTGCCTGGACTTGCTTGCAATTTCTTGTGGGTCGATGATAACATAATCCGTCTGCCTCCAGTGCTTGGACACCGGCGGTTGTGGTCTGTACTTGAACCTAAAGGCATGCATCTCTGCTATGAGGACCTCAATGGCCTTCAGGATCCTGCAAAGCTTGTGGCCCATTTTGTATCGGAACACAATACGGTTGTGAGAAGGGAAGAGTTTTATTACATCGAAGCCAAGCTCTCTGTAGTGCCCCTTCTTCCTGGCTTCACGACGTAGTGCTTCATACTTGAATTCATTGAACACTTCATTTGCCTCATACGCCACCGTCTCGAGCTCCTGGAGCCAGGGTTTGGCCCCGTCTCTATGCTCCGTCGCCTGCTTCTCGGCATCGGTCATGACATCGAGGATGGCCGGAAGCTTGCGTTTGAGAATCTTGTGCTGCTCCTCCATTCCCTCCATCACTTTGTACTGGTCCAGGAGGGAGTTGGCCATCTTGTTCACCAGCATGGACACCAGCGGCCGGATCACCATGGCGGCCACCACCTCCGCCATTGGAACACACACGCAATTGGCACAGCAAAAGGAAACACAAAGCACAGTGTGGAATGGAGAAGATAATGGTGTGAGCAAGACGTGCTTGCTTTGCTAGTAATGAAACTGGAAACCAAGGTGAGTTTTGACTTTGTGGGAGCGAAGTGGATGAGCTTGCTTTCTTTGAACCAATCAAAACTATCCAATCTTGAACAGCTCAGGGGTTGGCATTTTTTTTGGGGCTGATGTATAATAGGACAGCATACCACATTAACAGCTCGGGGCATCTTCATTTCTTAATGAGACATATCCAGAGCGCAAGACGACGCGGGCAACCATAATATTGCGGCGCCGAGGCTAAACCTCCCCTGCCTCCCCCTTTCCCCTGCGCCCGGGTGAAAACCCTAGCCCCGGTGGCTAAGCGGCGGCGGCGGCGCCACAACGTCGTCACCTTCTTGAAGGCGCTGACTTGGGCATGTGGATGCTAGGTGTGCAAAGCGAGCTTGTCTTGTTCCTGGTGGCGGCCCGTCTGATCTACCGCGTCGCAGCTTCGGGCATGTCTCGTGACTGCGGTACTTATCTTCCGGCCGTGTCTTCGATGGCGACCTCGTGCTTCCTCACCTTGTACTTGCCGTGGTGGAGCGGTACTTCATCTCACTCATTGATGGCGGCGGAGATCGGCGGCATGGCGCTGTGGAGGCTCGGCGTTCGATACGCGGAGATGGACTCGCGCAGGAGGAGGTAGTTGTCTGGCGTCATGGTGACGTCGATGGCAGATGTGGCCTTCACAAAGTAGAAGACTCAATATAATCTGAAGACGGACTTGTGGAAGATGGCGGCGACGATACAAGAGTGCGTCTGACCGGATTGTGGCCCAGACCCAGTATGTGGCTCGGCTGGGGCTTCCGGCTATTGATGTTAGGTTTAGGTGAGTGGTTTGGGTAGTGGCCCAGCTAGCATCCCTTCATCATATGGATAAAAGTAGCGGAATATGTTGCCAAGATGGTGGATTCAGGTATATTGTTTGTAATACTTTGTAAGGTCCTCGAGAATAATTAATAAAGTGGCCGTATGCATCTCTCAGATGCAGAGGCCGGGGATCATCCTTCTTTTCTAATTTTTTTTTGGAATGGCCTCTACTTATGATTGAGTACAGGATTGATCTCAGAACAAAAATATTCGGCTGACAGAGAATTATGTCTTGTTCATATAGTCTGATACAGTTTTGTGAATTAAATATAGAATTTTAATCTGTTGACAGATCAAACAAACGTAGAAACAATTAGCAATGGCCCTCCTTTTAATCGGAAAGCAGTTGCCCTCATTAGATCAGCCAACCATACACAGTGCCATATAAACAAGGTGGCTGGTACTAACGATGCAGGTTTCAAATTAATCAAATGGCTAAACCCAGGCATCGACAGCCATATGGGACAATGTGCACTTCAATTAGAAAATGAACACTTGCAAGCAGTAAAATAATTTATGTCAGTACACCCAGGATATTGCAAATAGAGTATTAATATGTATTTGTGTCAGGACATCCAATGCAGTTTTTCAAATGTGACGTCCCATTGGCTGTGACCTTAGCAAATGGTATGAATTTTCGTTCTAAATACTACAAAAAGTTGCAGGAATGCAAATAAAACAATTACCTCCCATGTCTAGACGTGCGAGAGCACACCTACTGTGCAACAACAAAATATACTTCATCTCGGGCACCTACCGCACAGGGAGGAACACAATATTGGTTTTTGTGAATTCATTGAATCTTGAATAGATCACATGCTTGCTTCTGAAGAGAGAAGACCCGGTAGCAAGTGGTGACGCCTAACTTTGCAGCCATACAACGGAAGCAACAAAAACAAAGACAGGAAGCTAGAACAACAGCGGCGTTAGAAGATAAATAAATCCGAGTGCCCTTTTATTGGTCACTGCCTATGGCCATATAAATGAGATGTGGGACATATGAAAGCGCATTTCCTCTGTTGCACATATGAAATACGACAGTACAAAACAGAATAAACACTGAGATTATACAGATGACTGGATGCTGTAACTAACTTGGACATCGATGCACCGAAGACGGACGTTCTTCTCAGACATCAGAGAGAAACGGAATGTCCATGCCAACTCCTTCTCCTGCACTCAAAGATAAATTTGGGCGCATAGGCAGAAATTTGAAGGTTATTCAAGGTGGCATCCACATAAAGCACATAGTTACTCAGCTACCAAAGCCACAAACGTGCATCACTGCCAGGCTACGCGGCTCAATTCTGCTTCCTGGTCCTCCTGAATCCTGCTTCACGCAGCTAGCATGGAGATTGGTATGGCAATCGAACTCATGCAAATCGAATTGCTGGAAGAGACGTACGGCATCCCAAACAATGACTTCCTGGTAATGATTTCCCCTAGATGTTTCCTTTGCCTGCATGGAATGCCATGCCAATCCCATCTTGCCTTTTTCTTTTTTTGAACCAACATCCGCTCTTGCCAAATCTCTGGCGGTCCACTGGTGGAGCAGGATGGCATGCAGCTGCAGTTCAAGTCCGTGACGCAGAACCTGTTCGTGGCTGCCGAGAATGGCGGCGGGGCGGCGCTGGTCACAAATCAGTCATCCGCCTCTGGTTGGAAGATCGTCAAGCTCTGGCGTATCGACCAGAACACCTTCAACTTCAAGGTGTTCAGCAACCAGTTCGTGACCGTTGCCGGCATTAATGTGGTGGCCATGGCCTCCACGCCGGGGCAGTCCGAGATGTTTCAACTAGTGCGAGACGACGCTAACTAGAATAGGATGAGGATCAGAGCACCCGTCCTTCTTACAGGTAAATTAACTTTATACTATTCAGTGCAGTAGCTGGCAAGCTAAGTGAGCATCTTTTATTCATTGGCTATGAAAGACTATTCCAACCACAAGTTGCATATAAGATTACTTATCTTTCATCAGTGTAACTAGTATGACTCATTCAATCTGTTCCTTTGCTGGCACGACAGGCAAACAATGATGGTTCGGTGACAGCCGACTTTGGTGAGAGCACAACCTGGGGCGACGACGACCCGTCCGTGTTTGCAGTGACCAGAGTCACGGGGCTACAAGGGGAGTACCAGATCTGCAATGGACATGGCAAAGATAAGGCCGCACAGGTCATGAATGTACGTATGCACGAAGACCTCTTTTATTTTCTACATAATTTTGCTACATACAGGGTAGAAAGTTCAAGTGATGTTGACGTATCAATTTGTTAAAATTGCATCAATCATTTGGGCACTTCAAGTTGGTTGATTGCATATATGTTTAACAGGACCACTGGAGCACATACATGGTGGAAGACGACTTTGCGTTCATGGCAGCAAATGGTCTGAACGCGGTCAGGATCCCAGTGGGATGGTGGATCGCCAGTGACCCCAACCCTCCAGCTCCATTCGTGGGAGGCTCTCTCCAAGCCTTGGACAACGTGTTCACATGGGCAGAGTACGTTACATACATGTGTAGTCTTCACAAAACTAGAATTTCTCAGTGGACATTGTGTTCAAATGATATGCTTTTTGTTGAAAATGTTTTTTTTAGAAAAGGAGGACGACCCCCGGCCTCTGCATCTGGACGATGCATACCGTCATTTTATTAATTATTGACACAAGACCATACAGAGTCATACAACAATAAGTCTAAAGCCACCAAACTAAGCAACAACTGTCGCTATCCCTATCCAGTTGATGTAGGGGCGCTGAAAGTCTGGACCTAATACCAAACAGACCACGCAGCCAAACCTAAACATCTAAAGACTTGAGGTCCCATCCAGGACGCCTGCCGGGTATGGGCACCCACCAGTCCGACGTGCTTCTCAACCAGGACCCCTGACGGGTATGAGGCCGCCGCAGCCACCTGCCACCAATCCATCTTCAGAGCTGTACTGCTGCATCAACCTTGCCCGGTCCAACTGCCGCCGACTCCACCATGACGCCAGGCAGTGTCACCCTCCTGCGCGAGTCCATCTCCGCTCATCAGGCGCCGAGTCTCCACTGCGCCATGCCGCCGAGATCCACCGTCATCAACGGAGCCGATGAAACACCGCTCCTCCTCTTGTCCCCTCCAACCAGCACTTGCTCCAAAATGATGCCCCATGAGGAAGAACGATACCGATAGCACTGTCATCATCCAATCCGGTAGACCCAGATCTAGGATTTCCCGCGGAACTTCCCGATCAGGTTGATGTGACCTGCAACGATGATGCCTCCAGAAGAACGACGTCTGAGACGCCGCCATCGTCCACCAAGACCGCAGTCAGGCGCGATTTTCACCAGAAGCCACGCCCTCCGGACCTCGTGGCTGGCTGGAACCGAGCAGAACCTCGCCACGAAGACGTATATTGCCGTCGGTACTCCGGCGGAGATCCGGCATCTCCTCACCAGTCCCTCCACGCTCCGCCGGTCGGCAAAAGGCCTCCCCGCGACGGATCCAAACGGGGCGTTGGATCCGCAGTAACCGATGTCACCATCACGAGCAGGACAGCCCACCCCGCCGGATGGGGCGCTGCCACCGCCGCCGTCCATGCAGGGCCGCCCCTCCGCCGGCGATGGTGCTCCGGCCCTCGCCGCACAGCCCGGATACTCCGTCCTAGCCGCCGCCGTTGGATCGCATGAGAAGGGCCGCCCCCGCCGCCTCAGATGGGATCCGCCGCCTCTTCCCGCCCAGAAACTTTGGCACCGGGCCCGCCGCCACCGCGGCCCACGCCGGCGGCAGCGGCGGCAGGAAGGGGTGACAAGGAGGTGCTGGCGGCGGTAGGGTTGGGGCCCCTGGAGGCGACGCGAGGTTGAAAATGTATGAGCAGGATGAACAATATTGGTGTGATCATAGACTTGCATGCAGCGCCTGGGTCGCAAAATCCCAACGAGCACATCGCTACTAGGGATGGCTCGCAGACCTGGGGAGACTCCAACATCGCGCAAACTGTGCAAGTCATTGACTTCCTCGCAGCAAGGTCTCTATCTGTTATTATATTTTCACTTCAGAAAATAGGGTT